TGACTAACTCCAAGAGGTTATGAATTACATGTTCTTTTGCAATGAGTGAATTAATCAGCCGAGCCATCCATAATTTTCATCATCACAAGACTAGTGAAAGTACTCTGGGGAGCGAGCTAACGCTTCGTGTTCATTTTTAGCATGTTTTTGTAGTTTGCTTTTAGTAGGGGTTATCCTATGCATACTTCTGACAAAGTTTCTTATGGCTGATCTCTAGATCGTGCATTTGAATGTTATTTTCTGCTTCTAAACTACTAAAGAGCCATTCTCTTCCGATGGTGAGTAGGTAAAAGCACTCGGTGCTAAATCAGCTTATCTCAAGCCATTGAGTAAATATGTTTGTCCTTAGTTCCCTCAGGTCAAGAAGCTGAAGGGTTGAAATTAGCCGATTGATTATGACAGCTCCTGATCCCTCCCTACCCAGAGATTGCTATCATGTTGGAAGATGCACTTGTGTGAACATTGGGTGTGAACATCATCAGGCTCAATTGCAATGCCTTCTACGCTTGAATTGGTTGCCAACGTTCACCGTCAAGGTTCAAATAGAAATAATGGTCATGGGTGAGATACTCCTAAGAGACTTGTAACCCAGTAGAAGAAAAAAAACGAGTCAAACTCCTTCTGGGGAGGAAAGAAACATTTCAGGAGAAAATTGGCCAAAACATTCAGATGGGGGGCAATTTATCTTTAAGTGATTTAATACCCTCACAGATTTGTCTTAATGCTTTATTATTAAGGAGCCTTGCAAAGACTAAGTCAGAAAGTTAAATGTTCCATCCAAATACTATACATCAGATCCAATAACATAGTTGAAATACAACTACAGTAGCATTCAGCAGGAGGCAAACAAGTTCTGATGCTGAAATGGACTGATTTTAGCAGCACAAGACCCGACAGCTATGTGATTTTGTGAACTTGGGCTTGCACAAAACTTGAGAGAAATAACTCAAGATATGTGGGTCCAGTGTAAAGGATTTTTAACAAAGAGGTGTTTCCCTTTTTTTTAACGAATTATTCAGAATATTACGTGTCCAAGATACTTCTTGTTGAACTCCTTTAGTCCAAGGACTTGTTGCTAGGCTTCAGTCCAACAATCTTCCTTATGTTTCTCGACCGATAAACTGTTGACTCTTCAAGAACAAACTACTGGCTTTTCAATCAGAAGTTTTGCTCAGTCAGCTCACAGTCTCTTCCTTTCTCAGTTTCCTGAATACTGTGCTCATTGTTCTTCTAAACATTTTTTGCTTGTTCCATCAGCATGGCTCAGCTGGTAGCACTCTTGTCTGCGAGTCATGAGGCTATGGGTACAAGCCCCAAGTTGGGGCTTTGAGCCCCGAATTCACACTCCCAACGCAGTGCTGAAGTCGGGGAGGGCGGGGGGGGGGGGTTGGAGGGTGCTTCATTGATTGAAGTGCCGTCCGTCGGATGAGAAAATTGAACCGAGGTTCTGTCTGCCTGGTCAGGTGAACTTTCAACGATCCCATGGCACTATTTGAAAAAAAGTTTTCAACTTTGTCCTGGCCAAAAATTGCTCAGATTAAAAAAAAGTTATCTCTTGGCTTGTCGGACATTGTTTTACACAATTTGGCTGTTGGAATTGCCTACAAATGCAATCTTTACAGCAAACTTTGTGAAACACTTTGAGACACTTCAACACAATAAAATCCACATCAAATGCAAAGATTAAGGATTATTCTTTCTCCTCCCTTCAATCTTAATGTGTTAAAATGAAAATCCAGTACACTGTTGCCTGCTCTAACTCAATTCTTTCCTTAAATCTCGAACTCCTCTTCTATGAAAGTGACACAATTATTCAACTTTTACACCACGCAGTACATTCAGAATTTTAAAATTATTTAGCGTGCAGTATTTATTTTACTCTACTTCAGAACATCCCTCAGACACCACAAAATAACTCTGCACCTTTTGATGGCGATATAAATGGCTCTGTAAAAGATTAAGCACTATGATTTTAATAAGGAATACATTTGTTGGCAGAATTTTAAAAGTGTAGTTTCCTTAGCTCGGGGAATCGCTTCGAAATGGTAACTGGCAAACAACTGAAACAGCTGCAAATGGACGATATGGTAACTAATCCAATGGATAATGTTTGTGGAATATTGAGGCCAGTATACAGAACAATGCATTATTGTAGGTTAAAAGCCGAAGTGCTGGTTTTCACGAGTTGACAATAATTATCTCTTTTCGCCCACATTTTTCTTTTTTTTTTCCACCCCTCATCGAAAGTCTTTTTAATTGTCCGTGGCAACAGCATGGAAATAGTGATCTGTGCTATGATTTTTCATACTCATCCCTTTCCTCTTTCAATGTTCTCCTTGGTCAAGAGCGTGTGAGGTGGACAAGCCAACACACAAACATCTGCATAGATGCCGTCACTGACACTCCTTGGCCAATTTGTAAGAAAACAGCAGCATGGGAATCTTCCCCAGACAGTTGTGTGCAGCCCTGCCTGACGACAGCAAAACGCTTATGAGAAACGGCAATGAAGATTAAGATTCAAACTCAGATCTAGTTTTCAGCCATGCTCCTCGAATGTGGGGATGTCAAGGAAATGCAACACTACAGCTTGAGACCATTGGATTAAATAATAATAATCCTTGCATTTGATGTAGCGCCTTATCGCGTCTTCAAGACTTCTCAAAGTGCTTCACAGAATATACTGTAAAATGAATGGACTGTATATTTTGTGGACGAAATGCGCCAGCCAATTGCGCACAGCAGTATCCCATAAACAGTCGTAGATTGAGTGATAATTTTTTTTAAGGGATTATTATCCCCCAGTAATTAAACTGCATTACAGATTTTTTTAAAAGCGAAGGGTGGGCTCATTTCCCAACTGTTGAAGACTCACAATCTCACATCTGGTGATGGCCTGATAAATCACATGAGCTGTCCCTGGGCACTGATACTGTGACTGTTTTAGCTTGTTGCTCTGTAGGGAGAAGAGTCACATCATTGACAAGGAATGTGCACCACTGAAGAAATCATGCTGTTCAACTTTTTGGGGGCATTCAACTCAATCCTGTTTTCTTCGGAGGATTGTTGACAGAGTGCCCAACAGAGAATGCCACTCCTGTGGTACAAAGCTTCCAGCTGAACAAAGTGGTTACAACCAAGGACACAAAGGTCAACCAGTCTATAATCTCGCTATATGAGGGGGCGCCACATCTATATAGATTTACATAGAATGTACAGCTGGCCAACTGGTCCCTGTTGGTAATTATCCTGGTGCCTTTACACCACATGGACTAGTTGGGTCGAATGGTCTGACTAGGACCTCATTCCTCCACCTCTGCCACATTACCCGCCTATCAACATACCTCACACCCACACAGCTGAAATGCTTATCCATGCTTTCGTCACCTCCTGCCTTGAGTATTGCAATGCACTCCTCACTGGTCTCCCCAGCACCACCATTCATAAACAATAGTTAATTCAAATTTCCATCGCCCATATCTTCACTCGCATCATTTTGTCCCCCAACAAGTGGGAACAGCCTACTTATACTAACCTTATCAAACCCTTTTACACAGCTCTGAATATTTCCTCTGTCCATTGTACACGTTATTGCAAGATCACAAGGTTTGGACGAAGGTGGTCTTTAGGCTAATGAGATCTGATCCTTCAACAATACCAATCATATTATCATCCCATTAGTATCAAGCTGTTTCCTAAATGAATCCAGTCTCTTGGCCTCAACCACTCAACCTAGCAACTTGTTCCAGCTGCTGATTATTCTTTGTATAAAGAAATACTTTCCAAGTCTGTGGTAAACTTGCCCTGCACAATCCCAAACCTGTGCTTCTTGCGTTTAGAAAGAAAGATCTTGTATTTTTATAGCACCTTATGTCAAATTACACATCAATCAGGGTCCAATGTAGCAACTGTGTATTGGTAAGCAAATGTAGCAACCATTTTGTGCAAAGTAGGTTCCACAAACAGGCTCAAAGTAAATTATCAATTTATTTAGGAGAAACTTCCTTCACTTTTGCAACACTGTAGTGTCGAGATCTTTAACACACACGTCAATAGGCAGATGTTTAAGGACCAGTGTAATAACATTGCTCACCAAATGCAAAATAAAATTGTTGCAATTGCTTAATGCAATGGATTTAAGGTCTGACCAAAGAGCTGTAGTGATGTAACTAACTGGATTGTGTATCCGTTCTCTGAAAAATACAGCACCAAAAGATAATAATAATAATAATAATAATCCTTGCATTTGATATAGCGCTTTTCATGTCGGGAGGACGTCCCAAAGCGCTTCACAGAACATACTGCAAAGTGAATTGACTGTATATTTGTGGGCGAACGCGGCAGCCAATTGCACACAGCAATGTCCCACAAACAGTCGTAGATTGAAAATGACCAATTAATTATTGTTTTTGGTTTTTTGAAGGGATTATTATTAGGTGTGTGGAGTAAGGAAACTTGCCCAAGGTTTCGCCCTCTGCCTGGAATTGAACTCAGGTCTCTCACTTGCAAAGCGAGTGCTCTAACCACTGAGCTACAGGACTCCACAAAGATCTGTAATATTGCATCAATGGGACAGTGCACATTATGCAATGCTGCTGCTCCTGTTACAATACAATACACATTTATATAGCGCCTTCCTCATCGTGAGGACGTCTTGAAATATTCCATATTTTATTCCAAGGGTTTATTAAACATTTTGAAATATGTAATTCCTCGTATTCCTTAAGTTGCAAAAAAAATTTGTCGGGGTTAAAAGTGACAGCGGCAAAGATTATTCACCACATCCAATGATAATGCCAATTTTGTGCTCAGTGCCTGACTGGGTGATGTCATGTGTGTTGAAAAGGGAATTGAACCGCATGTGAAAATGGTAAAAGGATCCATCGGAGAACCCAGTTTGATTCAATGGCCCAACAGCTCTCCCTGCAGTCAAGCAAGGGAAGTACAGAGCAGACACCATTGCTTTTACTCAAATCTTCTTTTTCTTCTTTCCATCATATTAGGTTGAAAAAGCTGATTGACCAGGAAAAGGCTTACCAGGCGAAAAAAGAGGAAGAAAATGCTGCAAAGATCTCCAAGCTAAAGGAGGAGCTCACCAAGTTGAAATCCTTTGCGCTAACCCTAGTGGATGAACAGCAACGCTTTTCTGAGCAGTTTAACCAACAGTGTCAAAAGGCCCAAGATCTGTCGGTCGCCGCCCAGCAGGCACAGGAGAAACTCGCTGTTGCTGAGTGGAGGGTGCAAGAGGAAGAGCGTAAAGTCCTCAGTCTCGAGGTCGAGTTGCAGACGCGAGCCAGCGGGTTTTACCAGGAGCAGGAAGCGGCAATGGCCAAGTTGACCAATGAGGAGACGCAGAATCGGCAGCTTCGCCTGAAGCTGGCCACCCTCAGCCGGCAGATCGACGAGCTGGAGGAGACGAACAAGTCCCTGAAGAAGGCGGAGGAGGAGCTGCAGGATTTGAGGGAGAAAATAAAGTGCGGAGAGTGTGGGAATTCCAGCCTGATGGCAGAGGTGGAGGACCTGAGGAAGCGGGTGCTGGAGATGGAGGGAAAGGACGAGGAGCTGCTGAAAATGGAGGACCAGTGCCGGGACCTAAATCGGAAGCTGGAAAAGGAGGAAAGCCACAGCAGGAACCTGAAAACCGAGGTCGGGAAATTGAAGAAGAGAATAATGGAGCTGGAAAAATTGGAGGACGCGTTCAGCAAAAGCAAGCAGGAATGCTACGTGCTCAAGTGCAATCTGGAGAAGGAGAGAAACCTGACCAAGCAGCTGGCAAATGAACTGGAGACCTTAAAGGTGAGAGTCAGGGAGCTGGAGGCCATTGAGAGCAAACTGGAGAAGGCGGAACTGACCCTGAAGGAGGACCTGGGCAAGCTTAAAACACTGACCGTGATGCTAGTGGACGAGAGAAAAAATATGGCGCAGAAAGTGAGGCAGACCGAGGAAAAATTTCAAAACGCCAACTCCCATCTTCACATGGAGGAGAGCAAGGTCACCACGGTCACGGAAAAGCTGATCGGGGAAAGCAAAAAGGCCTTGAAGACCAAGGCAGAGTTAGAGGAGAAAATGTACAGCCTGGCCAAGGAGAGAGATGAACTGCGCAAAAAACTAAGGGCAGAAGAGGAGCGTGGCAGCGATATTCTGTCCAAGTCCAACATGTTGAAGAAAAGGCTCCAGTCCCTGGAAGCCATCGAAAAGGAGTATCTCAAGAACAAAGCGAAACCGTCCGCACCTGTGCAGCACGAGGACAATAAAGTCAACGAACTAACTCACGAGGTCGAACGCTTGAAGTGCAAATTAAAAGACATGAAGGTGGTGGAGGATGACCTGATGAAGACGGAAGACGAGTACGACTCGCTTGAGCAGAGGTATCAGAACGAGAGGCAGATGCTCAAGGTCCTGTCGCAAGAGCTTGAGGCCATGAAGAAGGAATTGTCCAGGCACAAGCTAGCGGAAAAGATGGAGTCAAACCAGGAGCAGATCCTGTTTGAAAAACTCGGCGAGGAGCAAGCAAAATCGAGCCACCTTACAAGAGAGGTTGAAGCCCTCAAGGAGAAAATTCACGAATACATGACGACGGAGGACTTGCTGTGCCGTTTTAAGGGAGAGCACACGTCGCTGCAAAGAAAGCTGACTCAGCAGGAGAATCGCAACAAGGAATTGGCGAGGGAAACCGAAAGCCTCACCAAGGAGTTGGAGAGGTACAGGCGGTTCAGCAAAAGCCTGCGGCCTGGCATGAACGGCAGGAGATTTGGAGATTTGCAACTCTGCTCAAAGGAGGTTCAGACCGATTCGGAGGACAACGACCTGCCCGATTACGGAAGCCTAGTTCCTTTAGAGAAAGCAGTTATCAATGGGAAAATATGCGTGGAAAGCGAAGAGCTGGACGAGGGCGGTCAGGAGGAAGATCTGTCGCTGCAAGTTAATTACAATTCGTTATCTGTAAACAGCGTCAACAACAACAGGAGGTCGTGGATTCCGTGGATGAAGCGCAAGGAGAGTCCTCCGCAAAACGGGAAAGCCGCGTTCAAGCAGAACGGAAACCTAGCACAGCCCGGGGAGGTGGTCCTCACGCAGAAACAAGGGCAACCGCTTCACATAAAGGTCACACCCGATCACGGGCACAACACGGCCACTCTCGAAATCACCAGTCCCACTTGTGAAAACTCGTTCTCTTACACCAGCACGGCGGTTATCCCCAACTGTGGTGTGCCGAAGCAGAGAATCACAATTATTCAGAACGCCTCAATTACGCCTGCAAAGTCAAAGCCATCTGATGGGTACTCCACGCCAGACCGGGCCTTTTCGCCTCTTGCCATGACTGCAATGTCAAGATCCAAAACTCCTGACTCCTGCGGTTCGATAACTCCAGAGAGGACAGTGTCCCCCATTCAGATTGTCGCTGTGACTGGGAGCTCCGCCGGCTCTCCCGAACGCATTCTGTCCCCCGAACCTATGGATTCTGCCATGGCTCACACAGTCTTTAGAGTGGCCCCTGAGAGGATACAAGGGCGCCACCTGCAAAAGTCAAACGGCACAAGTCCTAACGTAATTACCACTGAAGACAATAAAATCCACATCCACTTAGGTAACCCCCACATTCAGACAATTACACCCATGGCAAGACCAATGAGCCCGTGCAGCCCATTGCAGGAAAGCAGAATGCCAGCTTTAACTAACGGAACACCAAATAAACCAACTAATAAAGTCACCAGCAGTATCACTATTACACCAACAGCCACTCCTGCCCCACGCTATTCACAAATTACAGTAAGTAATGTCTATGATTAATCCCCCCACCCACATCCGAACCCAACTCCTGTGAAAATAACAGCACTCTTAATTTTGTTCTTAGAAGAAAGAAATAGCTACATTACCTGCATCCTTTTGGTTTGGGAGTGGTTTGTGCATGTTATGTATAAACCCTGCATCTGATCAATACCCTTCTTGAATTTTGTGTGCTCGGTACTAATGCGTGTGCATATTATAAACTGTAATACCACAACATTAAAAATCCTTGTATTAAAAAGGTCAATCACTATTTAATCCGCACCTTGTATTAAAACAAAACCAACTGTATTTGCTTCACATTGTTAAAGAGCAGCAACATTTTTTTCCAATACAAATTGTAATAGGAGAAAACCATTTCATTCAGTTACAGTAAACATTGGTAAACATTAGAATGAGTTTGTTTGTTGAGTTTCTTTTGTTTTTTTTCTTCCTTGCATGATCATATTTCGAGCATGTGTGATAAAATGTGATAAAATGTTCCAAAAATTTTTGATTAACAAGCGAGTGTCTCTTTTATACAACAACAACTTGCATTTATACAGCGCCTCTCACACAGTGTAGCATCCCAGAACTCTTGACAGTGGTGGAGCATAATGCTGAGCCGGAGGGAAGGAATGGGGGGGGCGGGGGGGGTTAGTGGCTGTAGGTACAACCGGAGGGGAAGGTCTTCAGGTATGACCTGAAGATGGGGAAGGAGGGGGCAAGGCGGAGGTGGATAGAGGAAGAGTGTTCCAGAGTTTCGGGGCATAATGATTGGACCAGAGTTTGTGAAACTGGAAAGCAAACTGATCTTTTCACTCCAGGACCAAAATTCAAGTTTAGTCAAGACCAAAAAGATGAAAATTTCCCCTCTGCTGGTTATGTGGAATGGATTTGGGAAAAATACATCCAGTTTCTAATAGGTGAATGCTCACGGCACATAAATTGGCCAGAAGTTAAGTCACAAACTAGAAATCTCACTCAGAAACCACAAAAAACAAGTCACGTGGAAAATGGCAAAATTCACACTGAGGCATGCATGGGGTCAGAGTTAGAGTAGTCACTCGTAGCCAGTTATAACAGTCACTGGTAACCAGATAGAGTCACTGGTCTGCAGCAATGAAGTTAGATAAATATATAGCTTATTCACCATCACTGGGAAAAAAGGACATCGTTTCCCATCTCCAAACAAGCATTTATCTAAAACTGATTGGTGATCACAATGTAACACCACACCATCAGATCTGTAGAATTTCCGGTTGCACATATATTCCAAGCAAACTGCATATCACCTGCTACATTAGCTTTACCTGGAGCTCCGTGATTTCCTACAGCCCCGAATTAAATTTATTCAAAAGTTATACAATTTTATTTCGAACCAATTTGTGATCTTGTCCTTTTTGTTAATGACTAAGAGGGATCAGCTCTTTTCGAGATTCTTGGTTCGATCGAATGAGAAATCAGTCAATCCTTTTTTCACACAAACACAACCTGTCAAGGCATACAATGTACTTCTGGATACTGGACATACAAAGCCAAGGTATGTCAAAGTTTTCAGGTTCTTAGGCATTTCGCAAGAGTCCACCCCCAGCACTGAAAACCTCGAGGACCAAGTCTCTGCAACAAACATTCACAAATAAATATATTTTCAGCAGCTCCTGACTTAATCTCCTTCAAATAGAAATATTAGGAATGTGCTACTCCTGTTCTTCATAATGTACAACACTTTTATTTGCATGGAAACATCCTACTTTTGTGGAAGAAGCCCAGCAATAATGAATGTTAAAATCAGCAAATAATCATTGGATCATAACTGGCTGTGTGGGAAGGGTGGGGCGGTGATATTGTATCCTTTGTTTAGCGCAGAGCCGAAAGAGGGCTTCAATGCTGGTGTTGCTGTCTTTCAGATGGGACATTAATCTGCGGTTCAGGCTATCTATTCATTGGGTGAACATTAAAGATCCCATTATCTTTCACTTTTAATCATCACACAACATTAATCATCCCATAATATGTTCAGAAAGGTTGGTCTCCCAGTGTTTCAGACAACAATCCTCCGGATTAACCACTTGATGGTTTGTGGGAGCTTGTTTGTGCAAATGGTTGCTCCTCTGTGCAGAAAATCCTGTGGATTCCACAACCAACATGTCCTGTCCATCATTACCTGCTATCTCGGTCACACATTCAGTCTCTCCGTCTCAATTTCAGTGACTCCAATACTAAACACCCCCATTCCCAGATGCCATGGTAAAACAAGTTCCTTGGCTGTGCCAAAAAGGCTGAAATGAATGTCTTTACCACATCACAGTTTAATGTTACCAAGAGGCTTACAACCTTCCGCTAGATATGAAGCCCTGTGTGAGCTAGATATGGATGCTGTTCAAAGAACTGTCATTCTCAATTTCATGATGTTCTTATCAGCGCCATAGAATTAATACAGGACAACCGCAATGACAAAGAGAAAAAGTGGGCCGTATTCCTGCTGTCACCACCACGAGATAAAACCTATTACTGTAGGTCAAATAATAAGTTCAAAGAAAGCATCCCACGGAGAAAAATGGTACAGTATTATTAAATCTAAGCATCGAATAAGGATTCATCAATCTGTAGCTCAAAATATGAATACTACTGAAATGTAAATGAGCTATCCAAGAAAATAGCCATAAAGTACAAAAAGTACAAAAGTTGCCTCAACATTTTCTAACCCAAAATATCTCAACTTTTATAATATTATCTTGTGATATTAGAAAACCTTTCAAAAATTGTAGGTTTCTTCTATCTGTTTTGGAGGAAATCACTCTCATTCAATCTGAACTAAACACTTCACACTGAACGCTGAAAAAGTGATTTTTCCCTGTGACAAAACTGCAGCCTTACTTTACACAAAACCCAAGGTTTTGCGTACATTTACAACAACATACATTTACAGCATTGTTTTATACAGTGAAACAGGAGAGAAAGATCCAAATTAAATCATCTTATAAGACAAAGATAGGATGTTATTTTTCAATATTATTAATTGCTCTATAATTTTCAACTAATTTAACAACATAAAATGAACGTTTCAAACAGCTAAGTGCTCTGTCTAATATCCACTTTCAACAAACAAACCATGCTGGCCCTTCTAGTGCTGGAAAAGCACACAAACCAAGAGCATTGTTCAAAGTATTATATTGCATGTCAGCCTGGCTCAGTTGGTAGCGTTCTCAGAAGATTGTAGGTTCAAGTCCCACTTCAGGACTTTGGACTCACAAACTCTTGGCTGACACCAAAACAGAGTGTTTGGGGTGTACTTCTTTGTTAGAGGTTAAACTGAGGTCTTGTCTACCTGTTCAGATAGACATTAATAATCCTATGGTGCTCCTCGAAAAGTGAAGGAGTTTCTCCCAGTGTCCTTGTCAACAATCCCACCGTTAAAATTGGTCATTCCTGTATTTGAGACATTGCTGTGCACAAGTTGGCTGTCAGTTTCAACCACAAAATTAGAGTTGTACATTTTACAGTAGAATCCTGTGAAGCGCTTTGAGACGTCCTCCCCATGTTAAAAACGCTACATCAAATGCAAGGATATTATTTAGGTGCAGAGTTCTAGTTTGGATTTCAACTGGAGTGGAAAGTGGCAACTAAAACAGTGACATCCTTCTTCCTGCTAATAACCACAGCACTGATGGTATTGGTCCATTATAAGTGTCCATCTTCAAATACAAAGCCATTGTATTTAATGGCCCAGGCAAAATTACGCCTCCATCCTTAGTTTCAGAAATCAACCAAACTTAAAATGTGCAATTTGTTGCTTATTAAATATGCCAACAAGTATTTTTACAGGCGAAGACAACAGCTAATTTGTGCAAAGCAATGTTCCACAAACAGCCATGAAGTGAATGACCATTTTTTAAATCTTTTGTCGACCAGGACACCAAGAGAATATAATTCGTATTTTCAAGTAGTGCTATGGGAACGTTAATATCCACCTCAACAGGCAATTGTCGGGGACCTATACAACTACATAAATCATCCTATTATCTGAACATCTAATCATTAGAATCTCTAATAATATAGCGCCTTATCAAGTCTTCTAGACGTTTCAAAGCACTTCACATAATATACTGTAAAGTGGATTGACTGTATATTTTGTGGGCAAAATATGGCAGCCAATTGCACACAGCACGGTCCCACAAACAGTCGTGGATTAAATGACCAAATTATTGTTACTATTTTGTTCAAGGGATTAACCCTGGAAATGCGATCTGCCAATCGACTAATAACCAGGTTCCTACTTACTGCGAGATAAACAGAGGAGTGTGGAGTAAGGAAACTTGTCCAATGTTTCACCCTGCCGGGATTCAAACACGGGTCCTCTCGTTTGCGAGGCGAGTGCTCTAACCACTAAACTACAGGATTAGACTGTAGCCTGGATGATAAACACATTTATCATATCTTTATATACACAAAAAAATGTTTGTGTAGTACTGATCCCTCCAAGTGCTCTTGTGGAACAAATATGGGTGACTTGTTTATGAACAACTATTCTAAAGTAAATCTTAAACAAAAATTACAACGGCAATATAAACATAGCTAGTGGATGTCATAGCAAAAGCAAAGGAACAAAGCTGCTTGGACTTGTCCTCTGATTAGTTAGATATTAAGGCCTACCAATCACATCGTTCACTGTATTCCCATTTTATGCTTAGTGGAGTCCTGTAGCTCAGTGGTTAGGACACTCGCTTTGCAAGCGAGAGACCTGAGTTCAATTCCAGGCAGAGGGCGAAACCTTGGGCAAGTTTCCTTACTCCACACAGAGCCTAATAATAATCCCTCCAAAAAACAAAATAATAAATTGGTCATTTTCAATCCACGACTGTTTGTGGGACATTGCTGTGCGCAAATTGGCTGCCGCGTTCGCCCAAATATACAGTCAATTCAGTTTACAGTGCGTTCTGTGAAGCGCTTTGGGACGTCCTCCCGACGTGAAAAGCTCTATATCAAATGCATGGATTATTATTATTATTATTATTAACCTGGAGTGAATACAATCAGACCACTCTTAGCATGAACAGTAGACTACCACACAAAGATTGGTAACAAAGATTGGGTTAATTTAACACATTACCACTTACTGCAGTGATATTTTATAATTCTTATGTATATATATATTAAAAAAATTTGGTCACTCAATTCACGACTATTTGTGGGACACCATTGTGCGCCTTGTTTCATCACAAAATATAGTCAATTTACTTTACAGTATATTCTTTAAAGCGCTTTGAGACATCTCAATGACGTGATAAATGTATCATTTGTATCAAATGTGTATCAAATGCGAGGATTTTTTTTGAAAAAGTGGCTGCAACTTTAGAAGTGCCCACATTCAAATTCTATTCATGGTTCAGATGTATATAAAGAACACTGC